ACGGTCCCCCAATTAACCTGTAAGAAGTGAGAAAGAAAATCTTTGACAAGATGAATAAAAATAAGTATAAAAATATATATCTCAAATATTTGCACTGTTGCAAATTAATCTAAATTTTATATTTAGATTGTATAACGATTGTAACAGTAGAACAAATTGTAAATACGTGTCATCGATATATGCAGTGTGTGCATAAACATGTTTTTCACATATTCGATCATATGCATCAACGCTATAGTCGCCGGGTTCCTGGACATATTCGGCATTGATTGAGGTGTTGAAATAAAAAGGTAAATTTGTATCATGTTAGAGGTTATGTTTGATTGATAACTTGAAAACAACATACAAAACCGGGTCGTTTGGAGCAGAGCAAACTTGCCAGAATAAAAACTACAATGCCGACACCTGATATCAACTGTTGGGGGTTGCTTGTAATTGACTTGAATATTCCCACGTAACCAGCAAATGCAATCAAGGCTGCTAACAGAAGTATGTACACAAGCCTGCAAAGAGAGAGACACACACACAAGAAGTTTAGAATAATGATATACGGAGACGTTTTATTCTTTATAGTATTCATTTATAGTAACTGGTAAATTTTCAAAATAATATGTACTTAAGGGGGACATATTATCTTTATACAGAGTATGCTATTTTTAATAGATTTAAATTATTTTTTAACAGTGCTATTTTATTACATAGGGAACAAAGGACGACGTGCTGCTCACGAGTATTGTCCACTGTCGGTATACAAAAGTGTGTTTATCCAGTAAACTGTAAATTCTTCACTTTATTGAGTTTTGACCACACCAAATATCACATACACGCAACACACGACACTTGCAAGTATCATAACTATGTAATGTTTTCATTTATCAAGTATTGCACTTTCTTAGATCAGACAATAGATACTCGGTCTTGCTGCTGGAATGTGTCTTTATTTAAAAGTGTTGTCAAAAGGTTGAACTCTTTATTCTTATCATATGTTCAATTAAGAATATTATGTCTAGCTGTGAATAACACATACAAGGAAATATCAAAGTAACCACTCCTTATGAGCAAAGCCATTTTATCCAATTTAATATATACCAATTTGACAACGATCAATACTAATTTATATATAAATTTGTTCTAGTCATGTTATTTACACAATAACGACCCCCCCCCCCATAGTTTCTATAATGGATGAGGGCAACGGAAAGTTCAAGTTAATGTGTTATTACTAAGCCGAATATTATTGCGTCCTTACACGAATCCAATATACGCTTTGGGGATTCATTATTGCTATTAACACCACCATCAATTCTGAACAAATTTAGTTAATTCTGAGTTTGTTTGTTTTTTGTTATTAATTTACTTTCGAATACGATTTACATCACGCAGTGACGATATAAAGCTAAGGCGTCCTTAACAACTTTAATTTTGAAATGTTGATTTGTGACATGCAATAATGGACAGCGCGTCGTTCTTCATTCACCAGATAATATAACGCAACTGTTAAAAAGTAACACGGTTTAAATATAATAAACAAAACATACTCCCTATAAGAATAACATGTTTCCCTTTCAGTATAATTCTAATATAATTCTGTTTCAATTTCCTGTTACAGTCACATTTTCAATTGAATAAATCAATCCATCTCTGCTGAATATTCCTTTATTTCTCAAAAAAATACCTACCATGACAACAGCCTCCGGTTTCTCTTGATGAACCTCGAACATGGCTCCCAGAAACGTGTGCAAATGACTTCACCCCAGTATTTATCGATCAGTCCCCACGTAACATACAAGACAGCAAATACGGTAAAAATCAACAATGCCAACGCACGGTGAAAGTCTTTCAACATTGCAAATGAGAAATATATTACGTAAATGACTAGTAAAACACCGTAGGTGGCATACCGTATGTACTTTCTATGATGTCGACAATATGACGTGATTGCGTGGTCCAGTTGGTCGATTGTCTATGCAGAGAAAAATACAACATACATCATTCTCACATATCATTCAAAGCACGAGTGTTTGTTTATACAACATACTATCGCTTTTTTGGATATTGAGGGTGAAAATTGCTGAAGGAATGTAAGGCCACATATATGTAAGAACCCTGCAGAAAATATGACTAAAATTCTATTTTTTGAATTATTAATATGTATATATTTGTGGGTTCTTATATATATATTCAATTATTTATTGTTATATTGTTATATCGATTTTATTATAATTTATGTATTTGCTAAATAATATTGTAAGTTTGCCAACTGCTAATGTGGCGGTAATTAATACAGAAAGTAACAAGAAAAAAAAATAATCGGATAATAATATTAAGGTCAGATTCTTGAAGGGTGTATGATATAATTTTATGTTCTAATTGTGCGCTACAAGAGATGTAAGATTTAAGATTATTATATATAATTATGAAACTATCATTACCAAAAAAACAATAATATTCCAGTTAAAATCTAATTTAATAAATATTTGGAAAGCTTACTCTTGTGAGACAGTTACTGGGAGTGATGGCGGGCTCCTCTTCTTCACTTTCCCCGTTGTCTTTTTCAATTGGCGTTGAAGGGAGTTGGTCAGGCGATAGAGAATCCGGTACTGGGTCATCTTCCGTATGAGTAGGTTTCATTTTAAACCATACCTTTAAAAACCCAAAGTAATTCAGAGATTAAAAGTTGGTCCAAGTAGGTCATCAAATTCGCTACCCTCGTTCACAGCTAGTCATGCTGTAACCACTAAATTCCTCCACAAATATAATTATTGCCTTACGACTTGGCCGGCGAATGTCTGATTTGAGTTTGCTGTGGGGCAATCTGGTGCAGGTTTAAGTAGGTGACGAGTCCACGAATAGTTGATGCAATCGCACAAACTAACTAGATCAAATGAAATCTGCAATGGTGTAATTATATGTTAAATTTTACCCAATATTGTGTGTGTGTAACGTCAAGTAAGAAGGCAAATCAGATTTCACATAGATTACTATTATATAGTAGTGGTGGTGGTAGGTAATCGTAGTTACTGGTGAATTATCCAATATATAGCCAGACCGTTTTAGCAATTTGCCCTTCATCAATCAATATTCTGAATAGAGTGAGAGATCGTGGAATATATATTTATCATTATCAATATAAACTCATGGTTGATTTTTCATGGTTGCTATTCTGGCTGGGGCATTCGCGTGATTTGTCTCATATTTGGTCACTTTTGCCATGACCTCCAACCATGTTGTTGCGAACGTAAATCGACAAGTGTACTCACCTGTTGGTTCACCTTATCGCCATGGGAATTGGCTAGATTGCTGTCTACTCCTACTTGGACATATTGCGCTGATGATGTACGTGAAGTGATCTCCATGCTGCTAACTTGTATGGTGCATTCAAATGATACTGAATATCAACCTGTTTAGTGCAAATAATGGAAAAATTGTGTTTTTTTTATATACGGCCATTCGAATTTTATGAAGGTTATGCGTATGAATATACAGACTCGGTCTTATTTTGTCATCCTGATATGATGGAATGATATAATACGAGGTTTTATGGGGTCAGTTAATCTGATCATGGCATTTTCAGACGTTTTCAGATATTGTGTCACAGAAACATTATTACATAGCAGCTAAAATGTTTTCCAATAATATACACTTTACTAAAACAACAATCTTATGCATTCATTTTAAATCGTCTAAATGATTGTAGGATTATTGGAGGCATTGAGGCTATTGTAATGCATGTGCATACACCCTCAACAGAGTGGTGGGTGGTATATGACTAGTGGGATTATACTTGATTAGTTATATTAGGGATGCAACAAACGCCAAAGGTGATTGCAAGAAATACCTCAGTGTTCACTTCTGCATAGCTTCCCTTGATATAATTATGCATGCAAGCGAATGACGTCACTCGGTTTAAAAATAGGCGGAGCATGGCTCGGTTCAACAAAATAAAGGTCACTGATCTATGTGATATTTTCGCTGTTCTTTCGTGCTCGTGGTCAGCAGAGATTTTTCAGGGTTTTAAACCGGAGACCAATGTAAATGTAAAAGCGTATTCAACTTTCTATATCCTGTGTATAGTACACAATGACGTGTCCACCGATTCTGTGATTGGCAGTTTGCTTCGTGACGTTGCATGAGCTATCAATCATCCTCTGTTTAGTACCGGTGCAAAACCACGTAATGTCGCGTGAGAGCGTTTACAAGCGTTAAACAATCCTCAGCCCCCCCCCCCCCCCGTCTACGCTAAAATGCCTGTGGCATATCTTGCAAACGCCTTGCCGATTAAGTATACTAACAACTTTAAGTTTTCACAATACTAAGATGACGCCACATTTTCTTCATGAATTCTTTGAGGAGTTGATATATGTATTTTGTCTAAATTTAATAAAAGTCTTATTATATTTTGTTGTAATTCCAATTTGTTTGGCGGTCAATGATTTTTACAAACTCATGTGTTCGTCGACTTTCTTTTAACTTTTATAGGTACTTTTTTTTTATTTGCGAATACAAGAAATACAAGAAGGGAAAACAAAGAAGTTGGAACGAATGGAAACATTAGGAATGATTATATATTTGAAAAAAAGGACAAAAGCCAATAAAGAAATGACAGAAAAAACAGAAATGTTACAGTGTTACATTGAGTTAAACTTGATTCCACAAAATCAACAGTATTCCATTTTCTATTAAAATGTCCGTTTTCAGGTTTCGAGCTGCAATGTAGCGCTCTATTTCAAAGTATTTTTTGAAAGAAAGTTCAACCTGAGTGGCATCTGGTTTACAGCTGTTCTTATGTGATAAATAGATATGATATTTACAGCAAATTATGAAATGGTTTAATACAAGTGTATTTTCGTTACCCACACCAAGCATAATTTCTACATTTGATAAATTAATGACTTTTTTGTCCATTTTTTCTATATGACCAAACATTCCCTCCAAAACTGTCTAATGAAAGTACATTTAAGGATAATATATTCAACATGATAATTGCAGAACATACACAACGAACAGTCTACCAGACCCCACTGACAAAGTTGTTTGTTAGTCAGAATGGCCCGATGTAAAATTTAAACAGAAGAGCTTGTAGTTTAGTATCACTTGTACAGCAGAAAGCTAAATCATGTATGTAAGCCCATTGTGCACTTCAAGTTTATCTTCCCATTTATTATGAACTTTCAATAATATGCTATGATTTGTGTCCATGAGTATGTTGTAGACTGTTCTATGTGGCTTCTTTTTATTTGAAAAAAGAGCAATAAAGTTGATTTTCAAGATTTTGGTATTGCATTAATAAGCATCTAGTATTCTATAAAAATAACCTTAAAATTATTCCATCTGTCATGAATTTGTTTTTGCGTATCTGTTAACCGACTTAATTAGTTGATTATTAGCTGAATTGCTGTGTTATGTCTGTCATCGTTTAGGCTTATTTGAAGTTTTGGACGGAACTTGGCTCAGTGATTTGGAACTAACTACCAGATAACCGTCGCGATTCTGACAGTTTATATTCATAGTTATTAATGTAGTGAACGATTAATCAAAAGATATGACGTATTCAGTACTTAGTGTTATTGGCTTTATGATTGAAGGTTACGCCTTAGAGTCTTTTACTGTTTTGTAATTGGTTAGAGTTTTGAAAATGAATAAAGAGAGTTTGAGTTGGTCTTGGAGAGCACAGCACGATAGAGGCAGTCGAGAGAGAGTGCAGTCCTGGAGAGTCGAGTCCAGTCCAGGGGCGAGCCTTGAGGCAGTCCAGTCTTGGGCGAGTCTTGGTTCAGCCTTGTGAGAGTCTTGGGGACTTTTCCCCAGGGCGCTGTGTCTTATAGAGTGCTCCAAAAGATCGACTTAGACGAGAGTTGAAACGTATTTCGTTGTGTGTGCCTTATTTGACTGTAAAGTTAAAGTGACTTTCCCGATCCCGTACCTCAAGGGGACGCGATAGAGAGACGAGACGAGATTCCCCCCCCCTGACAAGTGTGGAGAACCCAGAGAGAAGAGAATTTCCCCCTGATAAGTATGTTGTAGACTGTTCTATGTGGCTTCTTTTTATTTGAAAAAAGAGCAATAAAGTTGATTTTCAAGATTTTGGTATTGCATTAATAAGCATCTAGTATTCTATAAAAATAACCTTAAAATTATTCCATCATCAAATTCCCCTCATCATTAAGCAAGTCATTCACATATTTTTTTCTCTGCAAAACCTCCTTTTTAATATAGGAGTCATCAATACATATTTGAGAGTTGTACCAAAGTGTCTGATTTTGAATTATACCGCATTTATCTTTTCTGGAGATACAAAGTTCCAACGTAAAAATAGCAGAGAAAAGAGCTTTCTACGGATGTGAGCAGTTTAACAATGACCTTAAATCCAAGCCGTTTTTAACAAGCTTGCAGACCTTGCCTTGTTCATTAAAATCAATACCCCTTGTTCTCGCGAAAGACTAAGTGTCTCTCTGCTGATCTTTGCTCTTTTTCCATTCCAAATGAAATCAAAAATTACATTATTAAGTTAATTGAAATAATCATTGCACGGATTTGGCAACGATGTAAAAAGATGAACTAATTGTGTTACCACCAGACCTTTAACTACTGTTATCTTACCAATTAGTGATAATGATCTCTGTTTCCACATTGACAATAGTGAAGTTATCTTTTTGAGTCTGGTCCTATAATTCTTTGCCACCATTTTCTTCAAATCTAAATCGGTAAGACCGGAAATGTGACCGAAATAGCCCTGGATGGAAAAGACTGACTTTATAGCAACTCTGAACCATCAAGTGTCAAACATAAATCATCGGCATACTGCCCCAATAACAATTCCTTGTGTTGAATTTTTACACCCCTGACATTAGTATTTTTGCGCCAAAGCCACAACAAGCAGTTCAATACCTAAAATGAAGAGGTAAGGAGACAAAGGGTCTCCCTGCCTTACCCCCCTAGAAACATTGAACATTTCACAAGTATAACCATTGTTTATAACACAATTTCTTATATCAGTATAAAAACATTTGATCCAATTTCTTAAATTTATATCAAAGTTATATTTGTGTAAATTAGCATCAATATATTCCCATTCTATACTGTCAAATGCCTTTTCAAAGTCCAGTAACAATAAAAGCCCTGGAATTTGATTTTCTTCTGTATAATGCAACATATCATAAACAAAACGAGTATTGTGTCCTCTGAATCTGCCCTTTATATAACCTGTCTGAGTGTCACTGATCAAAATACGCTCTGCTATACAACTAGTGGCAATTGTATAGTCAGTGTTTAAAAAGAGTGATCGGACGCCAATTTGATTTATGGGATGGATTAAAAAGAACTTAATATCGTGCAAAATAAACTAAAAAAAATCTGAGAAAAAGCCATCACTACCAGGACTTTTACTGTTTTCCATATGTTTAAGAACATGGAGGCATTCAGATGGTGTTATAGCGCCATCAGCAGTGCCTGCTGCTCAGCTGACAATTGCGGTAAGAGCACATCAAACCTGTAATTATTAATCTGTAATTATTAATCTTTTCATAAAATCGCCTTTCTTCAGCTAGAATTTCTTTGGGGTCTGTAACAATTGTGTCATCAATTTTGAGGACGGTGATTGTTTTTTCACTATAATTTTTAATTATAATTTAGAAAATATTTAGTGCATTTCAATTTTCCAGGCTTTTGAGCGAAGCATTATCCCCCTTGATTTTTATGAAAAACTTCTAATTCTTGTTTTTTCTTCTCTAAATCTGAAACCAAACGAAAAGAACTATTCACAGCAATATTTTCCTCCAAGTCATTAATTTGAGACTCCAAATTTAATTGATATTTATTCCTTTCTTTTTTCTTTTGAGAACTATAAGCAATTGTCATACCCCTAATATTCATTTTTAATACATCAAAAAAGAGCTGTGGGTCAATGGTAAAAGGCAATTGAATTCATCAAGATCAATATTTTCTGTGTTAACATACTGTTTGGTTATTTCATTAATAGAATCTTTTACTTTTTTAACATATTCTTTATCATTTAACAATGAAGTATTCAACTTCCAAAAACCACGACCTTGCAAGGTAAAATTACATGACAACGTTATTAAACTGTGGTCTGACCTATGCCCATATGAGATACTTGCTTTAGTCACAAATGTAGTAATATCAGAAGATACGAGGAAGTAATCAAGGCGACTCTGTTGTAATGAATTTGGTTTGTGTCTGGTATAACGAATTGTCTTGGCATTTTTATCTCTCCAAATGTCACTCAAACTATAAATATCTTTTAATCTTTCGACTACTAATTTCGCCTTAGGATTATTTTGTACTTTATAGTTTTTGAATCTGAATTAATATTGGGAAAAATATTCCAGTCTCCACACAAAATAACACTGAGATTTCCAAAATCCTCTAAAATGTCAACAATGTCATTAAAAATCTGGTTTATCTGTATTTAGGCCATAAATAGTACCCAACGTAAAACGCTGGTTTTTGACTGTCAAATCAAGAAACATATAGTTCCCATTGCTATCCCCTTTAAAACCATGGATTGTATGTTCAAAATTATTTTTCAAAAAAATCACAACACCCCGAGAGTGGCCCTTATATGGGCTAATGAAACATTTATAACCCCATTCACTTTCCCATTTTTCTTTCTTACCCACCTGACAATATATTGTAAACATACAACCTTGAGGATGAGGCTCCTTAGGTTAGTATTTTAATGGCCCCAAATGTATTGTCATTTTCAGGTTGAAGATGGTTTGGAAGGTTAGGTGGGTTGTGAGTATTTCCCGCCCGTAATTATTGAGTTTTATAAACTTAAGAACAGAATCCACAGTCTTGTTAGTCTTTACCAGTTATACATGAAGTGAATAAACCAAGCAATTTAGACACGCAGTGGACCTCGGTGGAAGGGGCGGTGATAGCAGTTTGCTCCTCACCATGGAAGAGGTCAACAAGTGGACCTTCCTCATTCTCTCAAATATACTGATAGATCAATGACTGGAGTTATTTTGTCACTCCAGCACCTGGGTCATTCGGAGGCTAGCGTTTTTTTAAAATACTTGCGATCCTATGCAACTATAAATGCAACAATACAAGGATCACACAGGGGTTGCTTAAAAGAGTTTAGCCTTAGCAAAATAACAAAAGTGGGGGCTGCCTAGAAACTATCGTTGTAAAGACTTTTTCTGAAAAGATCCTGTGCAAGTCCATAGCAAATATCTCATTTTCACGTTGACATAAAGGTTGCCCAAACCAGAATATGTGATGCTATACATATGGTGGTCAGCTTGCCAAATTTATGCTGGCGTAAGAGCTTTAAAACAAATACACTCAAATGCCTTCAAAACAACCAATTTGAACAGCCTGCTTCCAATACATAGTAGCACTGGGAAAATTCCCTCATCCTATGGGTAGTGAACAACATATATCAAAGGGGAACCTTGTGTTTCGAGCAATGTGCGTCTAAATTTCGTCAACATTATTATAACCTAATTAACTACGATAGCAGCCGAGGAAAACACAATCGTAGAAATGTTGGTAAATCAGATTGGACATCCTAAGCACGTACATCTTTTTCCCAATTTCCCGAATGTTTTTAAGGTGCATACTGTAAAACATGTTGAAAAAGCGACATGCAATTTTAGAAAATTGTGGCAAAATGACGTAATAGCGAAATGTTGATTTAGCGAATCTCTCTTGTCATTGTTGATTTCCCGTTTTCACAATACTTGTCTGTCGCGCGCCAAAACAAATGCGCAGTTATCACCTCCATAAAAACAAAGAAAAACTGTTAGGTGTAATTTGATTCTGTTCGCAATGATAAAAATCTGATTCAACAGAGATTTGAAAAAGCGGGTATTGTTGCTGCGTTACATCCAGAACATTGACCTTTCATATTGTGACTCCGTAATAATATATCAGTATCACTTCATTTATTAATTTTTCATTGAAATAATGACCATAATGAATACGTTTATTTTTTTGTGTTAATCTACATTTCAATCTATCATGTCAGTATGTATTTTGTTTTATGTTGTTTACAAAGTGTTTGTCTGGAGAAAAAGTCGTTGTTTGGCCACCATTTTGAATTTATAATGAAGTCATTAGCAACATCTTAAATTAGCGAATTAGTTCTCTCGTTTAATTCACTAAACAAACATGCTCGCGAAAAAGACATGTTTTACAGTACATTGTCGCATATGCATGCCTGTTACCGAACATACACTGGTTTAGTAAATAAGTATTTATAGAAAGAATTTCCATGAAGACATCTAGATTCATTGAAATACATAAATGTTCCCAGAAAAAATTTTTCAGGTTTACTTACACAGTGTGGGTCGCGGTGTAAAATGATGCAAAAAGAGTTACATTACTTAATTACAGAAATTTAGTGATACCTGAAAGCAAGTGTACATTACATCTAAAAAATATCACAGAGAAAGAATGGTTTCAGAATGGTTTCAGTACATTGTCGCATATGCATGCCTGTTACCGAACATACACTGGTTTAGTAAATAATTATTTATAGAAAGAATTTCCATGAAGACATCTAGATTCATTGAAATACATAAATGTTCCCAGAAAAAATTTTTCAGGTTTACTTACACAGTGTGGGTCGCGGTGTAAAATGATGCAAAAAGAGTTACATTACTTAATTACAGAAATTTAGTGATACCTGAAAGCAAGTGTACATTACATCTAAAAAATATCACAGAGACAGAATGGTTTCAGAACTGGTATATGGAATGTTGAATAAAACTAATATTTCTGACTCGACTAATACATAATTCTGGAAAACCAAGAGATCGTATAAAATAGATAACTTACTGGATCATGAGTGTCTTTTTAGTATTGGTTTGGTAGAATCTGATGTATGGGACTGATTTGTGCTGCCACTAAATTATATTTGTATTTTTATTGTATGTACCAGTAGAAATTAAAAAACGTAGATCCTCGAAATAGTAAACCACAGAAAATGCCCGGATGTGTCTGACCTCTCGCGTTTAGAAAACATTTTTTTTCCATTAACTGTGTATTATTTAAATGAAAATTGAATAGTGTGTTGTGTCCAAGTGCCGAAATCCGTTTGTAGCAATTTTTGAAATTTCTGACTATATAGTCATTTGTACGGCAACCGAGGTGGCTGATCACGTCATGATTTTTAAAACAAATATTTCTATTTTTGATTTTCGTTTTACAAGTCATTTTCATTTTAAAATCATTCATTTCAATGCCAGTTTTAGCACGTCGTATATCAAGAAATTTCTTGGCGTTCTATTCTTCTCAACATTATGACTAAACAAATTAGGATAGTTGGAACTATCATTATGTTAATACACAAATTAGCATTTTTTGTAATTGCATAACGTCATTTCCAAATTATATTATAACTATGGTCTGATTTATTAACTTGTTTCTACTCTGAGCCAATAATGTTTTTCTTATCATTCGAGTTTTGTAATAATTGAGCAGCATAATTAATATGCCAATAACGCAGTTTATGGCTAATTCAATTGGTTTTCATCGATTTGGGTGCAATGTACAGTTATTCAGATTTTACACAAGGTCTAGTATTTCATAGAAGTTCGCATTATCTCTAAACGCATTCATTTATATGAAAAAATGCCATACTTTTCACAGGTTCCACAAATTTCAACGAACTTTTTTTAGCGTGAGCCCACATACTAAATATATATCTGCAACATCCCCAGTGTTTGATGGACCGTAAATGACCGTAAATATGGTAGTTTACCAAACCTTATTTCAACACGGTAGAAAATAACTGGTATAATATGCGCTGTCAATAGTGATTGGCAGATCCCGATTTTTTCATGCCGAATAATACTCGAAGGGTAGGGCAACGCCACTGGCTGACATTTATTCACTTACGGGTGCGATATGAGCATGGTTAAATACATGTGTTTGGCCAGGATGGCGAACTATATTATCATTCGAGGCCAATGGTCGCACAACTCTTTCATGTATTAGAAAAATGTGTGTTTTTTTCTGGTCACCCGAATGCCGAAAAATTGGATAGGAATTCTAATTGCGCAAATAAAATCACTTTGCATTTGATACAGTGGTGAAAAAGTGATTATTATAATTCTGGTAGAAAATAACATGGTCACATACTTATAAGACACCACCTAAACCATTTTCCCTTGCATAACCGTTTATTATTGAAAGATATACCTACCCCTCAATACTTGTTTTTTTTTCAATATTACCTAATATTTTCCATTAACCTGACAATAAGCTTTTCACATTGCTATACACAAATATAATATCATCCGTAAATAATACAAATAATTTTGAATTCATGACTGTGATATAACAGCTTTTTATCTTTTTTAAATTTGCTAAAACTTATAAGTACGTAGACGAGAAATGCGCCTACAGAGAGCGATAGTAGCTTTTGACCAATTCTCTAGAAAACGCTATTTGCAATTGTCTATTGAACAGAATATTTAAATATGCGACATTATGTTAACATCATGCTTTAAACGAATCTACCAACATGTCGTCTTTGCTATTTTTCAAACAATTTACTATTTTTTTCAAACTACGAATTATATTTATGATTTCTTCATTGGTAATGTTAGTTCAAATTAATCGTCCAGTGAAATTAAATTGTTTAATTCGTCAAATACAATTAATTAGTTCGTTTTTAAGATATTTAACTGAAAACATATAATCACCGATAAAAAACACATCAATCACACATACCAAACACAACAAAACTATAAAAACAATATTTATTACTTTTTACGAAAAAAAGAATGCAATACTCTCAACACAGCTAAAGGCGTCTATATTTTGTACCCCCTGTATCTGTTTACAATATATAAAAACATTCGTTTAAGTGATGACTTTGTACTCTATTTCATTCACGTGTGTTCATGCTTCTTATTCACTTGTCTAGAATGCGTCGCTTAGAGTATAATATGTATCACTATATGAGAAATGCATCTCCTTGTGTGAATGAAATTTGACTTGAAAATGTAAAATTGAAAAAAAAATGATAACAAGTTTGAAAATCAAAATATATATATATATATATATATATATATATATATATATATATATATATATATATATATATATATATATATATATATATACTATTTGCGAAAATTGTGGTGTGGCATTTTATAAATGTTATGAATAAAAAAGCATTATCAACAGAGTATATTATATTGGCACTGTAATAATAATATTGGCACTGTGACTGGCACACATATGGCTTGTATGAAAGAAGTCTATCAAAAAGGTATCATGACGTGTTCCGACTTGTAGTATTGGATCTTGGCATTTATGTGGTGTAGTTGGTAGTCATGGCGACTTCAATTGATGTTATATTTAATGTCGGCTCTACGAGGATGTTGGCGTCAAAGTATATCGGGCCTTCATCATTATACAACACACCTGCAACGGGAAATGCATATAAAACTGAGTACTATATACATGGTGTATGAAACATAAAAGAGAGACTGACACTCACAAAATACAATGCGCTACAGGTGTTCACAATCAAATAAACGGTTATTTTGTTTTCCTAGCCTTACAAAAAACGATAAACACATTGCCCAAAAAAGGTGTTTATGTCAACTTTAAGCAGAAGGAAAACTTTCGAGGATTATTAAAACAAATACATAGACATGCGCATAATGTTCTCCAAGTGCTAATCACGTGATTTCAGTAACTAGATTAAAGCGTACATCGTTGACTCCGCTATTATAGTAATATAAACAATAAACATTCCGAATATAACAACCCCTATATCTACCATTGAATTCTGGTTGTTGCTGTGAAGACCTCTTTATTATGTGTACTAGTATGTGGATGCCTGTGACCGCTTCTGCATGTATATCTCGTTACTAGAGTACCTCGTTCACAACACGTTATTTCGAGACTAGGACAGTCAGTGTGGTATAGTGTGGTATACTTTTCGAATTCCGTGCAGCGGTGAGGTGTCATGTGAACGTGTATGCTGCGTTTATATGTTCGTAATAACCCTCGTAATAAGCCCCGAATTAGTATGTCTAATTTTATGGAAACATGTATTACAGCTCTAAAACTTTGTCTGAGCAGACTACAGCCACAGTCAGCTGGCGCACGCGTGATAATAAAA